CTCTGCAGCTGTGCCGAAACTACAAATCCCATAAGGCATTGCAAGCCACAGGCATGACTCCCAGAGGCAGGAGCATGATGGGATGTGTAGTTTTGGCAAAACTGGAGGGCCAGAATTTAGCTACCCCTGGTCTATGTTGGGGGACGGGAGAGGGGGCACTGGAAGGCTGTTCTTCTGCCCCCGAGTACACAGCACACCAAAATCCCTGCAGACATTACTTAGAAAACAAATCCTCTATGAACCGGGCAGCTTGCATTTCAGCCTACACACGGGGGGGTCTCAAACCTCGGGCCCTCCAGCTGTGGGGTGGAACTACAAATCCCATGAGGCATTGCAAGATTCTCACAGCCACTGACACGACTCCCGGAGAGAGATGCATCATGGGATTTGTAGTTTCACCCCACAGCCGGAGGGCCGGAGGTTTGGAGACCCCCCTGGCCTGCGCGTTCTATGTCCTGCACAAGGGAAAGGATTTCTCGCGTCGGCTTCCTTTCTCCGGCTCGCAGTGGACTATATTTGCAGTTGCTAGTTCACAAAGTGTCCGAGGAACCCGAGCATAGAACTATGTACAAATCTTTACACGTCATTTCTAACATCCGCTTATACAAGACTAGGCACAAAAAAAAAAAAATCCAAAAGAAGCATCCCGTTCATAGAACCGGCACCTAAACGCCGTGTTCTAGAACCTTCTACGGATGAGACGACCAGTTCTAGAGAGACATGACGCAGAGTATCCGATACTCTGAAAGTGGAAATAAAACATTTACACGGATAGAAAAACGTCCCAAAAAAAACAAAAACACAAAAAAAAAAAACGCTGCTACAAAATTAAGAGCTTCAGTGTTCTTCGAAACACGTTGCGTCTAGACGGTGACAACGTAAACGGTGCTGCCGTCGTCCCCTTGCGTGGTGTATAAGATGGTCGGGGCGTCGTCGTCCGCCCCGCCTGGAAGAACTTCATTGTCTTTGGAAGTCGCCTCACCGGCTTTGCCGTCCTGCTGGGCGTTGGGCCGCTTGTGTACCACCTGGTGGGACGTCAAGTTCTCCAGGGAGTTGAACTTCTCTCCGCACTCGCTGCAGTTAAACAGTCTCTCCACCACCAGCACCGGCGCCTCTTCGCTGGGCTGAGGGTTCTGAGACGCCGTGCTGGGCTCTCCCACCTTTCTAATGATCATGCCGTTGTTCTGCTGCCCGCAGACCACGGACTGCGCCGACGTGGGCGCCGCCTGCAAGGTGCCGTTGGGGTTGATGGAAGCTATGGGGGCGCCGACGGGGTGGGCGCTGCCGATGCCCAGGCCGCCGTTCAGCGTGAGGATGGTGGGATTGCTGATATTTAATGGCGACTTATTGTTCATGTTCGTTGGGTTGCTGGCAAGGGTGACGGAAGAATTGTTCCCTATGCCCACCGGCCCGTCTACGGTGATAAAGGTTGTATTGCCGAGTCCGTTGACGTTAACCGGGCTGAACGCCAACTTTCCACCCACAGGGGCAACGTTTCCGGTGACCACCCCGCCGTTGACAGTCACCACCGTGGCCTCCTTGGACGGCACCGCGGGTCCGGTAAGGATAAGCCCGGAATTGGCATCCACGAAAAGCGGGATTGGCTGTCCTACTGGCTGCTTCCCGGCGGCCGACACCGGAACAGCTTTGAGGGTGCCGCCATTGACCTTTTGGAGGTTGGTATTGTTTATGCTCAGAGTCCCGGCAACACCGCCAGGCTGGTTGACATTGACGGCTATGGGTTTTGGCTGACCGTGGGAAACCGGCACCGCAAGTCTATTAGCTTGACTCATTATAGGCCTCATGGTCACCTGACCCAGTTTAGTGTTAACGTTCTGAGGGGCGACATTGAGGGGGACGCCGTTTGGCTGTACAAAGCGGGGATTCGTGCCAACTGGCACTCTGTTGGCGGCAGAAATCTGGTTTTCGGAAATATTCACTGGCGTGGCGAGCACGATCCCCGAACTTCCAACGGTGACGGGAAAGGTAAACATAATGCTTTGATTTCCATTGCATGGCAGCGGCTGGGTGCCGCCAGTGACGATGAAGGGGGACGGTTGCTGCATCTGGACCTTATTAACCAAAACGGGGTTACCCTGCTGCACTCCTTGGTGCGGTGCGATTTTGGGGGCAATGGGCGGAGGCTCGCCGGCGGCTTTGGGGTTTTTCGTCGGCGGTGTTCCGGAACTTTGCGACCCTTCTTTACAGGTCTTGGTTTGGAAAGTTTGGGGGGGGGCGGCCACCTCGGAATCCTTGTCGTCGATAATAATGATGGGATTGGAGTCGTTCCTCGAGTCCTTTTTACCTCTGACTAAAGGCGGATTAAATATCCCCGAAGTCCGGATGCTGCTGATGGTGATGGGAAGCAGAGGGCGCTTACCGTCTCTAGCTTCCTGGAGTGCGGAGTCTTGACCGTCGATGACCACGATCGGACCCGGAGGAAGACTTTCCGGCCTGGAAGTGGGAGGCGTCCCGGCAGCTCTGCCCTGGATGCTCGCTGGGGACGATTCCGTTTTTCCTTCGTCGCAATCCACGATGATGACAGCGGGGCTCGCTCTTTTAGGGGGCACGCCGCTGTCGGATGCCGGCTGGGGGGCGGGTCTTTTACCGCCCACACATTCCCCAGTGGATGACCGGCCGGATTCCTGACCCAGTGTGGATGAAGGCTGGCCATTTCTAGGAGCATAGTTAGCACCGGGAGGTGGAGAGAAGTTCTTATATAAAGTCACTTCGCTGGGCCTTGGCTGCCCCGTGTTACCACTTGGCGGTGTGACTGACTGTACCCCTCGGACGAGTTTGCCCCCCATTATGGTGCACTGCGAGTTGTCTGGCCTTTTGTGCATACTCTGAGGAAATGTTCCTCTGGTGCCATCACTGCTCGTCACCATCTGGCCCGGGGGTCTACTTCTCTGATCAGTTATAGCGTTGGGGCTGTTATTGGGCATCTGGTTAGTGGGTCTACTTCTCTGATCAGTTACCGCATGGGGGCTATTAGCCATCTGGTGAGTGGGCCTACACCGTTGATCAATGAAAGTATTTGGGCTGCTGTTGGCCATCTGGTTATTGGGTCTACACCGTTGATCAATGAAAGTATTTGGGCTGCTGTTGGCCATCTGGTTATTGGGTCTACACCTTTGATCAATGAAAGTATTTGGGCTGCTATTGGCCATCTGGTTATTGGGTCTACTTCTCTGATCAATGAAAGTATTTGGGCTGCTATTGGCCATCTGGTTATTGGGTCTACACCTTTGATCAATGAAAGTATTTGGGCTGCTATTGGCCATCTGGTTATTGGGTCTACACCTTTGATCGGTGAAAGGATTTGGGCTGATATTAACCATTTGGTTCGGGGGTCTACTTCTCTGTTCCGTTACGGGATTTGGGCTGTTATTAGCCATCTGGTTGGTGGGCCTACATCTCTGATCAATGAAAGTGTTTGGGCTGCTATTGGGCATCTGGTTAGCGGGTCTGCTCCTCTGTTCATTGACAGCATTTGGGCTATGAGGCATCTGGTTAGCGGGTCTACTCCTCTGGTCACTCATGGGATTTGTACTGTTATTAGTAGCCAACATTGGCAAAGTTTCCAGAGAGGCAAGAGGAGACATGGATTGCGACTTCCTATGATTGCCACTCATGTTTGCCGGGCTGGTTCCATATTTGCCACCTTGGTTCGGACCGTGCAAAGGTGCACCCGCTGGGCTGCCCCCGTGAACGTTGTGTCCCGGTGAAAGCTCTGGCTTTCCATGCAAAACGTTGGGCGACCTCGGATCTCCGGGCCTATGGTATCCAGCAAACTGCGGCGACAACTGGATCATTGCCGGATTCCCTTGAACGTTCATTGGAGGCGTCCCGTGTCTTAGAGGGTGGCGCGCGTTGGGAAAAGCCGCGGGGTTGGCACCAGCGTTGAAATAGGGGTTTGGGGGAGATGCATATCGGTTGGTTTCCATCGCCCCCGACACGCCGTGGTGGAGTCGCCTTTGTTCCCACTGGAAGCTTGCTCCGCACTGATTATTGCAGAATGTTCCGCAGCCGGGGCACGGCCCCATTGGGTTCCTCCGGTCCTGGAATGGAGCTTCCCGGGCATGAAGGAACGGTTCCTTTCGGGTTCGACTCTCGTGCTCTCCTCAATCTCTTATTCTGCAGCCCCTGTTATCAATGAACAGGATTGCCCTATACTGAGTGCTCCTGATAATTCATAACATGAGGACAGAGTGTGTTTACTATAACCACAGTCATGAATGGACAGGAAGTGATGTAGATGTGATGTGGATCACTTCCCATTCATTCAGAATTGGGGATATAGCAACTATACTCGGTCCTCAATTGTGGCACGCCGTCACAGGAGGCTGAGCGAGCGCTGCGGGAGTAGAGACGCCGGCCGCTCACTGGGCTCTCCACCCGCAGCGCTCGGCCGGCTGTCACTTTCTCACCTCCCCGCTGGGACACAGAGCAGCGGCCAGCGGGGGGAGGAAAGAAACCAGGGAGGCGCCGATGTATCGGCAAGAAAAGGGCGCTTTCGGCATTTATGTTGGTGCATCCCTAGTTAACAGGGTTCTAAAATGGGGAACAAAATCAGAAAAACTCTGAAAAAGATGAACATACGTCATGAATCAAAATGAGGTCGGAGCCCGTTCACAAATACATCCAACCTATAGGGAATGGGGGAAGGGAGTCATGGAAGAGAACGGCTTGTTTCATACACAGATCAGCTCTGGTTATCCAAACGTAATGGTCAATCCAACACCTGGTTGCTGGTGATGCGAGTGACCAAAACTACTACTCCCATCTCTCAGGACTCCATTAAGGAGGTCTCTGCAGTACAATTTCTGGGTCTGTACAATAGCTGCAGGCATTGTGAGGGAGTCTCATTCTTCACGATGGACTGTTGGTCTAACAGGAGCGGGTATATCCCGGGGCCCCAAAGAGGGGCAGGAACGGAGACACAACGATGGCGAGGAGATCTCATTACTGCAGATGGAATAGGCCGGGTGTAATGGCCTTCACCTAAAATGGAAGAGTCTCTTTAGGGTGGATGGACCCTTTAAGGCTGAATGACATTCTGCGACGGGGTAAAACATGTGCAGTAGGGGCCAAATAACGAAGACGGTGCTGTCATAATGCAGCTTCTCCCAACCACTACTCCAGTTCTCACGTGCGGACTGTGCGTTACATGTCAAAGAATGGAGGTCTACAGGAAACCTATCCACACAGACCAGGATCTGCCTTTTGACCCCCTGGAACTGAAACTGGGGATCATTAGAAGTTTGGGCTGAAATGGTAACAAAAGACAAAGAACACAGATGTCCCAGGAGTGCTTGGAATGTTTACACACAGAGTCAGATGGTCACCCCCCCCCCCACGTATGTAGTCTGAGTGTCAGCATTTGGGGCCTTCAATGCAATGTCTCCCATACATGATGGCGATTTAACAATTCATACCTGTAGGGCTGCAACAACTAATAGACATAATCGATTGAAAAAGTTGTCAACTTTTTCAATCATCGATTAATCGGCTTCCGATTGGTTTGCCCTGTTCACGGCTCCACACACGCTGCGCGCCAAACCTCCTCCCCAACTCACCGCTGCCAGACCCGCCCGCCTACACGCTCCACACGCCGCAACTCCTCCCCGCCTCACACTCACCACCCGCCCAAATCCACGATCGGCACAGGGACGCGGGGAGAAGAAGTAAGGAGGAGCAGGTGTGGGCGGGTGACAGACAGGCCCGATCTCAGAAGCAAGTTGCTGGAAGACTGCTCAGGTACGCCTGCACTCCCCCCCACACATGGTGCTCTATAATGTATTGCTGGGATTTGTAGTCCTCTATAGCTGATGGTACATTGTGCCGTATATTATACTATCAGCTATAGGGGAGTACAAATCCCAGTAATACATTGTACACTGAATGTATAAATGTATTGCTGGGATTTGTTGTACTCCTCTATAGCTGGTGGTATTCTGCATTGCGCTGCATAGAGGACTACAAATCCCAGCAATAATACATTATACAGTGGTGCAATGCGGAACACCACTCGCTATAAACGATTAGTCGAACTTAATAATCAGCTAACTTAACTAATCGATTTTGAAAATAATCGTTAGCTGCAGCTCTAAACACGTGTACAGACTTTGGCAGCATGGCTAGAAGGGGGTGGTGGTGGGGGTGGGGTCACAACTTTCTTGCACAATCAACATTTGCCTCGATACATTATAATCCATTGTGATTGCATGAAGGTGTGCGCACTGCCGGTGTGGATAGAAATGTCGGGGTATCTTCCCGACAATCATGAGAACTGAAGACATTGCAAAATGTCCACAGAACAAGTCCAGCTGAATGCGACCAATACTGGGAGGGGCCCCTAACCTAATTCACATGGGGGGGGAGGGGGCACTAGACAAAATTCATAAAATGTTAGGCTTCAAAACCTCACGTGTGTGTGTAAATTTTCAGGATTTCTGATGTCGTGAGCGACTTCAGTCTGTGCAGTCACCAAGCTCCGGGTGTGTGCTGCTACCTTCCAGTTCCGGTCGGGACTGCTGGGGCTCCGGGAACGGTGGGTATCCACCAGGGCCCTGCTCTTCTCTTTTACGTACCCCATGCTCTCTGCCGCCTCTCAGTTGTCACTGCGTGTGTAAGCTCCCGTCACACAGGCCACCCGCAATAAATAGGAAAGCCGTTTGTGGACGCATTGCCTGGTGGTTGATTAGTGCGGTCTGCACCTTTGACTGGTCCAGACCTTACTAATCCATCCCTTCGTCCGGTGCTCAGGGAAGTCTGTCAGAACGCACCCCGCTCTGACACACACGCAGTGCCGGCACCGACAGGAGCAGCTAGCAGTCTGCAACTGACAGATGAAGACCTTGTAGCAGGTGCGTGGTCCATGACAACTTGGCAGCCGGCCACATGGTACCAGTTGGTGGGCCGGTACTTTGAAACCCCTGTACTAGGATCAATGGGAACCTTCAGAGTATAATGATGGTGGATTTTTATAGCGCTAACAAAAAATTAAAAAGTCAGGTACGGGGGGGATGTTTGTAGTGCCGGTTGCTCTGTGATAATTCTGGGTTACCCTTTCACTTACAAGGATGTTTATGGTCTGACGCTTCAAACTTAAAGCTGAACTCCAATGTTAGAGAACTAT